GTATGTTTTACCGCAACTGCAGGTGTGTACAACATTTAACTTTTTTCTGTATTGAGCTGCTGTTCCTTTATGGGATCCGGCGACCCCATACTCTGAGGTTAGAAGTAATAGGTTACGTAAGGCTCCAGTGAGATCGGANTCAGAATTTCTCACGGGAAGGGAGTGTGGTGATCATGCAACGAGTACGCAAGTACCATAGTACAGATTCCAGATAGCCAAACAGGAAGCAAATTTTCTGACTATTCCTGCGGTCTCAAGCAGCATGAATTGGACTGGTTGAATGCAAGAATGCAAATAAATGAGTAATATCGTTGTTAATTAGGCATCAAAGAATCAGCCAATGATGGTTTGACGCCTATGAGGTTTCTTTGCATGGCTTAGCTTGACAATCTGTATTTTCGAACAGCGTTTATCATTTCTTAAATTCCACTCTCGACATCAAATGACATAATCTCCACGGAATTGCTGAACGACGAATACATACTATTGCTAGCATATCTTAAACCATGAAACAAGTACCAAGTTCTGCTAATGGGTTCGTCAAATGGTGACATTATCAGTGTGTATGAATACAGGAACATACAAGGGAATCATACAACAATGCCACAAAGCCTGATGTCAATTCAAAACATGAGCATATGCGATCAGGCTATCCAAAATTTTATTGTGGCTATAAGTGCCAATCTTTTGCAGTCGATCCTTTCATCCTTTATTTATCATCTTCACTTGCTTTATTGAATATAAAAAGCCAATATTTTCAAAGGGTTAACATGCAAGTAGTAATGGAAAGCCAGATGATGGTGGTATACCGACACGTCCTCCGGGATGATAATTTGGTGACGTTACCACCGGGTCACCACCACCCTTTAGCTGAGAGGCAACAGTTGTGTCTGAAAAAGATTGATTCACAATGGGAAGAAAAAATAGTACCCACTGCGGATGCATCTGAAAGATTCACTAATCCAGTGGTGCATATGGGAAATACCGGAAAATCATGGACAGCAATATACATAAAGTACTGCTTCCAGTTTCCCGCAGTACTCATTCTCAACCCAGGGTACCTACAAACACAAGGATCATACTTTCAACTCAGTGCCAGTTTTTGAGGCAAACCTATTGTTTTATCGCACTAGAAAACCTCTGCTGAAATTTATTAGAATAAATGCAGTTGTAGGTCTTAAAACACTTCAACATAGTTGAAGTATATCACACGAAGGAAACCTTTCGTTTCAATGACATTGCAAAGAAAATGTCAATGTTTTTGCATACCATCTGAGAGCCAAGAAGGCCGAAGATCTTTGAATGTCTGATTCTCGTGAATTCGAAGGCGCATTCAACACCGGCATGTGTGTCGTAGACAGTAAGTCTACCGGGACCAGATTGACCTCTTTATATGCTTTGCTCTTAAATTGTTCAGGTTTTGGTTCGGATGAAATTGCATTCATCAGAGTTTCGGAGAGTTCAGTAGTCTTTCTCCGAACCTCGCATGTAATGCTTTTGCTCATGGTTCCTTTAAAGTGTTCTGTTTGTTCTTGACCCTGAAGGACTGGATACTCTGCGGGGCTCTGTGTATCGGAGATCTAGAATGACAGTTGTATCCAAAGAAGCCATTTATGTTCATACGATTAGCCAAACTGATAGACGGTATAGATGAAACAACAATGACAATATTGTCATTAATTATTTCTATTACTACATAAGGAAGAAATTTCAACGTGACTATAGGGTTCCGAAAATCAATAACACAATCCCACATGGTCGGTGTTTTATACAGATCTGCTGATAGTAAAAAGCTCAATTTAATCCTAACTATCACTTGATAGTCACAACCTTATACGAAACTAACCAAGAAATCGCTATCATATGGCGAATGATAAGCGGTTACGCTCACCAACATATCGCCCCACACCGCACCTGCCTAGTATCTTCTTTTTCATTGTATCACAAAGTATTCCTTGAACCGAGCAATTCCGACCCCAAGTATGATAATAATTATATGTATTATAATGTAATCAATAAAAAGAGGTGAAAAAGACTAAAGGAAGAGAATCATCTGCTTTCAGGTTGATCTAAAATGTTGTACGTACCTATTCTGCTTCTACAAAAGCTAGCTACACATTCATCAATGTCTTACTCGTTGTGTAAATATCTTATGTGAAATATGGAGAAGGAAGAACAAAGCATTGATGGTATTACGATCATTTGTTTCATGTACAACAATTCCCCAATGAATATCGATTCATCTGTGCCAGTGTGATTGATTGAATGCATTCAAAAAATCGAAATGTATGAAGGAAAGGCTCGATTCGAACAATGCCAAACGAACGTAAGACTTGCACTATCTGACCAACGCTGCTTTGGATGTTAGCTGATAATGTGTACCCTGGCAAAGCTTAGACTAATAAACGATCTGAGAAGGTACTGTCGCACACTTTATTCTGTCACATTTTTCAAAAGAGCATTCGTGTAAGGCTAAGGCTATTATGTCAACCGTGATCTCGACGGTAAACCGTCTGCAGCACACATCAAACCGGTGAAAAGTACAGCTTGCTAAAGAACAAAGACAACGTTCTATAATATTTGTACTGAGATCAATCTGTTGGGTTTAAGATTTTACTTTTGTAAGAAATACCAGTTACTAATTCAAACTCTGTTACGCGGTGCTGGTTCCTCTGCGCTTTCGCTTGGATGACGGCTGTTGTAGTGCATTTGTCGCCGCCGGATTTACCCGTTGATACCTGTCTCTTGGAAGCAACAGATCAAACATCTCTCTATTGTGCCTCCAAAAGACAAAATGATTATACGATGGCGTTTTCAGTAAGAAGGAAGTTCATAACAAAGACAATCTCCATAAGTATCCCACTGAAAGAACATACTAGTATAAAGTAGCCAATATATCAATAATCAGTCTTGGTTATGCTGTTCCAGTATTTATTCGAAACATATGCCCGGTCTGAAACAATAATTCATGGTAAACTTTGATATCCATGTGAAAATGGATCAGTGGAATTCACGTACGTTCTCATGGCCGGCAACCTCAGTACACAGCAGCCCTTCATCAGTTATTGCCATTGGGTTGGGTAGCTCTAACCAGCTTTCACGAATGTCTTCCTCCATCTGCTCCTGGTTATGGGTTGCTAGCTTCACCCCATTAAGAGAAACGTCTGGGAGTGGGAGACTCCCCTGAGTGTAATCGGTCATAAATGTTATTCTTATTCAATTCTTGCTTTGTTCCACTGGTACAAGATGAAACAGATCAGGTAATTCACCGTAGGTTGAAACTAAAATGAATAAAAAAAATAGGAAACAATTTTTACACATGATAAAACAAGGCTCCTCTTTAACCGGTTGGTAACATGGATGGGTAAAATCGAATGCAAAAGGTCAGTGCTATCGGTGCGGCCCCGTAGCTCAGCTGGCAGAGCGTGCGCGTACAAAGCGTAGGCGGCGTCCATGCGTGGTTCGAATCACACCGAGGCTACTGAACTTTTCACAATCGACATACAATATTAAATCTTCTCCAGATATTACTGCTTTAGCCCGTTGAGATACATGGGCTTGCTAACACAAAAATTTCCATCTCAAAAGGACTAGTAGAATGTTGGAGAATAAAACGAATTTGCAAACGGTAAAACTCATCATTAAATCATGAAATAAGATACACATTGAATGTCCCTCAAGTAGACAGATCTAAATGGACACGGATATACCGAGCCATCGAATCCGATATTTTAAAAGGTTGATCGAACTGGGTTTTTAAAGATTTCTTGCTTTTTGATTGTTTCTTCGCAGAAAACCGATCGCTATTACAAAGCTTTGGAAGCAATATTGTGCACACTAATGTAGCCATTTTTGGCTGCGGCGGTCTAGTCACGTGAGTGGTATAGCAGTGTTAATCGCACTTGTGATGTGCATTTACCTGTACGAATTGAAAATCCTAGTCATTTCTTACAGATAAATAGACACGTGTGCCCATTCGTTCAGTAGAACATCCGTCAATTGCACCAGCCAATCAAATGGATTTTGTTCCCCCTGTTAAGCAATAAGCTAGATTCCAGAAGGTCATTGCAGTTGACAGCGCGCCAAAATAAAACGAACCTGCTTCGCTTTCGATTTCGCAGCTGTGCAAGATGGATTTCGATAAATCTTATTAAATATTCATCATATACAGCGCACAGCATAAATGATGGTTCTTCGGACTAGTTGTTGGTAGTCAATTCTGATGAAAATTATCGATGTTGTGCACAATTAGGCTTTGGGTATCAACTTTGGGCTGTGAAATGCACTCTGATGTATTCATATTCCTCAACTGAATCAAATACTGTTTTGGGCCAGCTTAATTCGAGCAAAACTATAGATGGACTTATCCACATCCAATCGATTTCCAAGATATTTACAAAGAGTTAATCTGAAGTAACACCAGACTGACCGCAATAATTAAATCCTTGAAACTACCATATATTAAGTACGGTCTCTTGTTCGGTAGATAAGTTGTATTCGTCTATAATCGAATCTTATGACGTCGGATATTTGAAATATTTTTTCACTTTCCACCTGTCAAATGAGACAACAGTTGATGCCTTTTGGTAGGTAGATAACTTAGTTTTAAGCAACTCCACCAACACCAATCGTGAAAAATGTTTACATAATGGTCATAACTGGCCATAACCAGATACTTTTGAAAGTATGGGACTTTAGGAATTATATTTTGGCCTCTACACCTCACTAAAACTCGTACATCGCATTATATTCGCGCCATGGTGAAGCGCACAGTTCGATCGAAAGCAAACAATGATCGACCCGTTACTGCATCTCGGGTTTTACACTTTTCTTTTTGACTGAGCAAACATTGAGCTCTGCTCTCATCTGGCGAGGAATAGATCACAGCGAAAAAATAACCAGTTCTCTCAGCTCCTTGGCAAGCATCACAATAGATGATCGCGAGCGTCTTCCGTCCACCGTGCTACAATCACTACCAGTCGATAGTGGTTTTCTTTTGATTGGAACGTGCGCCTAAATTAAATTATTCCAAACTTTCCACAGTATATGATACAGGCGAAAATCTGAAGTTGTTTGAGAACTAAGGTTGATGCGTAAAATCAACTTGTGCAAAACACTGATGAATGTTATCATAACTGACTACCGACAAGTAGGCAATTAATAGATGTGGTTATTTCAACGTTGAACCATCATTTATGCCACGCAATGTACAGTTAGTTTCACTAACCAAAAGAAACAACTAAGTGCATTTATGCATCACGTGCTCATTGGGCCTGAGTTTCCGGCTCAAACCGCGAATTTTGGGGGCTAACGTCACTATCAAAGCAACTTGGAGGCCAGGTGCATTAATTTCGCCAAAATCACCCGTCCTCTCGGATTTTATATTTCCCAGGCAGCTGTTGTCTCACCGCAGCCGCGGTCCTGGAATCTGATAAAGTTTTATATGTTCAAGAAATAGATCGGGAGTAAAAAATCATTTAGATTTGCATTAACTTGCAGCCTGACCCTGTGGTAAAGTATTGCATTACATAGTTAATTGTGATCTAATATATTTTTGTCTGGTCAATAATAATGACTGGTTGACACGTAACAATTTGTTGGGATAGTTTGGGTGGCTAAACTTTGAAATAACAAATAATTCTGTCCAGGTTAGATGTTATCAGAAAACGCCAACCCCTTGACGTTTGCTAAAGATCACAGCAAACCGAGAACCGTGGAAGAAACGGTTGCGTCAGCTCAAAACTCACGGGTCACGTTGGGCGTTGATTTGTTAAGCCCGATGGTGTGAGCCGTCTGTTCAAAAATACAGATCGGCACTAAACGGAACCTACTATGCGACTGACCCCTCAACTTAGTATCCCTCGAAGCACCCAGTACAAAACTATCATCTTTTGTAGAATCATGGATATCTGTGAGTTATTCTTTTCACCACATATCTCACTAACTGAATCATACGGATCCTAAAAATGTATTCAGGGTATGAAAGATGTGACGAAGAGAATAGATGACGAAACAAGGAAAAGAACCTTTAGAACGAAGCTAAGTAATAAAGGGAGAAACTGTAAGCGACAAGTTGCCAATGCTATTGTGGATAGAATGCATTTGCAAATTTGGGAATTGCAGAAAATGTGTAATTTCTTATAGCTAGTGAATTTATTCAAATTTGATCTTGCTATAGAGATGAAGTACTGTTAATTCTGTCATTGTATCCTTTTACCATTGTTAAGCATCTTCTTCAGTGTGCCTTTCGATACCAGAAAAATGTAGGCAATTGCATTTGGTTCAAAGGAATCGGTGTTGTTCGAGGGAACGTCTGTCTCAAAGGAATTTACTCACTTGGCTACTGAGGGCCTAGACGGAATCCACTCAGGTGACTAACTACTCCAACATTCATGTCTGAGCATGGTAACCGACTTATTGATTCATCTTGACGTGATTTGCGTCATTACTCGGCCGACCGGGGTCAATTACCGCCTGATTCGTTTATTCCCATTTTCGGTTCATC